AGCTCTTCGCTTCTCCCATCTTCCATAGGTTGAATTGCTAACTCTAGCTGCTTTCTCTGGCATAATGGAAACAAGTTACTGGCAATCCAAAGACTTGAAACTTGAAAGTGCTTTTCAGGTTCCCTGTAAGAGGTGCAACAGTTATATCTCGTGTGGAACACCTTTCTACAACGTAGACAGTGCACCCAAGTGCAAAGACTGCTTGTATTGTAAGTGATTTTCATTTATAGGCTTTTACCTTACCTTGGGTGGTCAAGGCGGAGATGACGCTACCACCCTCACGGTTCGTGGATCGAATCTCAGATCTTGTCCGGCCATGGTCAACCAACCCCTAAATACTTCCGGAAGGGTCACTTGGCTACGAACTCTACCGGTAGGACAGAAAAGCACTCGTCTGTTTATCACCTAACCATTATCTGCCATTACATAGGCCAAGTACAGTAATGAGCGGTAGTCAGACATGTGGCGCATCCTGAAGAGGTTCATCGAACGAGAATCACAACTGGGACTGCATTCTCATAAAAAAACGGTTGAACCCTCTATAAAAACTGAAGTGGAGAACTCGTAATGAAGAGGTGAGGATTCAAAGGGTGAAGCTTTGGGATGAGAGGTTGGTGAACCTTCCTTGGGATGCATCATCGCGCATTCAACCCTTATTCAGAACGGCTGTGGCTCTCGGATGAGATTTGGGCTTTCCAGCGACTGGAGCGGGAAGTGGGCTCGGTCACGACATAAATCGCCCTTTTCATCATACCAGACATGTTTGGCAAGAACAAACTGACAGCGTGGTGTGGTTGTTGTGGAAGGGAGCCAGTTCGAGCAATAAGAAAAATTCCAGTCGTGTCGTGAACCACTGCCACCGTAATCAAATCCGTGGTAGTAGTCCGTATCCCTCCCTAGACTTCTCCATGCGCACACACCCAACGGGCGAGTCAGTGTGATGAAGACTCAAAAGGGAGTAAACTAAATGACGTGCCCAGAATGCGGTAGCAGCGATTTCTCTAACTGCGAAATCTTCCTTGAGTTCAAGCATTGACCCCAGACCATTTTCGTGGTGAGTAACGCCTTGCCACGATACTATTTCCTCCCTGTTGAGGACTAGATCATGAAAAGTAACTTCCACTGATACAGGTACAAATGGCGCTTTTTTAGACAGACGGTGCCAAACCATCCCCACAGACGGCTTCA